TAAAATTAATAATGACATCAATTTGATTATTATTTTTTGTGTAATCTTTCTATAGGTTGTGGTCCTAGTGGCCCTGCTTTTACTTGCAGTCCTGATCTTTGTAAGAGTAGCTCTTGTGAAGCACATGATAATTCAGTGTGTGAGATTGATTCTTGTTCTAATTGTACTGTTAAGCATTATGTTGGGCTCCAGGAAGTCACTGAACAATGTGGTAGGCTTACTTTCACTGCATGAACTATTATATTGTATACTGAGTTTAATTTTTTATTTTTGTTTTAATTTTTGCTAGATGTATGTGACCTTCCTCCTGTACATGGAGAGTGCAGAGGGTCCATTACTAGATGGTATTTTAATGGAGACTCTGGTCACTGTGAAAGATTCACTTATGGTGGATGTCAAGGTAACAGGAATAACTTTAAAACCTTGAGCAGCTGTCTACAGACATGTGCTAGAGGTAAGAGAATTATTAAACAAGAACACTTAAGTACAAACCCTCACTATAGCTATTGTACCAGGGGTGGGTGATACTGGCCAAAAATTTAATGGATTGTATGTGATGATTATTAGGCGATATTGCAAGTGTTGATACAGTTTTGAAACAATATTTTAGGGTACAATTATTGAGTCACATCAGTATACTTCATTAACTTATTCTATAAAATTTAATTTTGATTCAAATAAAAATAAAGTATTTTGTAAATTTTGAAGTTGCTTATAATTGAGTCAAAAAACCTTCAAATTTTTCCAAATTTAAAAAGTAAAGAATTCTCAATTTTTATAATTTTATCTGATACATTTACATGTTTTTATGCTGCATACAAAATTGAAGCTGATATTGATCATTATTTGATTTTTTAATGAATTTATAAATTTGCTCAAAAATTGGTCCAAAGACCCTGGGCTTTAGTACAGTGTCTGGAGCCAAATTTTGCCAAAATTAAAAAGTAAAGAATTCTCAATTTTTATAATTTTATCTGATACATATACATGCTATAATGTTGTATAAAAAGTTTTGTCTGATTCCAATCAAAATTAGATTTTTAATGAATTTTTAAAGTTGCTCAAAAATTGTGCCAACAATCATGGATCATTAGTAACGCGGTAGCGTTATTAGTAACGCGGTAGCGTTACTAAGTAGGATTCACCCCCAAACAAAATGGCTGCCACGACTTTTGCAGCCTTGCTATACCGGGAAAACGAGCTCCTATGCTTACCAGACTTTATAGAGGACCTTATCTTGACCAGAGGACTCCAATGGTACCACTAGCGTGGCTCTAGACCTCGTCTAAGCGAAAATTCAAAAATCGGCGAATCGGCCGTTTTGTTCAGCCACCTTTTTTCATCTTCATCATCTTCATCTTCATCATCAAGTCCTGTCAATCCAGTTGTCGGTGTGTATCTCAGTATCAGTTGGTGCTACAAGGATAATTCTTACACCAATCTACTCCAACAGTCTATGCACAGGTCCATGTCCCATCAGATCATTCTTCAAGTAAGGAAAAAGTGATACTGTGACTGCTGGATCGAGCCATCTTAGCTACATGCCGCCATTTTGTTAATTAAAGAAGCTTGCCATGTGCTCCAAAATTTGGGTGTGGTCGCGCATGCTCAGATGCAGATCTGCAACTCTGGAAGAAGCAATTTATTTTTTACCAAGCTATGCTTGGAATCAACTTACTGGCTACTGCAATACTTTAGTGGAGGTTTCCAGCTAAAAGAAGGTATTGATTATACATGTTACTGTTTTATCAAGTGTGTTATTTTATTTTATTTAAAAAAACAAACAATTAATTAATGTTATGACTTATGATATGCAATAATAATTATGAACTTGACAACAGCCTGGAAGAACAGGAATAGCAGGGAAGATGGACACTCTTAGCTCACAGATTCTTGAACAAGGACTTGTGTTAAGACTAGTATTAGTTTCACTTGTCATCAGTATAGTTGATATTCCTTCAGCATGTCTATTCAATGTTGTCTCTCATAAATGTTATAACAATGATAATAATGATAAAGAAAATTATTGTTTGTGTAAAATCAACAAGTATCACAATTGCAACTAAAGAAATACTATAAATATTATTTTAAAAATCAACACAAACAAGAACATAAAAAATTTAAAAAAAACAAGATGAAGTAGGATTCCGAACAACCAACTAAAATACGAAATATTATAAAAAATCAACACAAACAAGAACATAAAAAATTTGAAAAAACAAGATGAAGTAGGATTCCGAACGACTAACGAAAATACGAAATGAAAATCCTACTCGTGACGCAAATTCTACTTTACATTTCAAGGTGATCCGTAATTCTTACATAATAACATTAAAAGTACAATGTAGAGTAGAATTTGCG